TCCCAAAGAAAGTATGTCCTAGATCTGCTCCAAGATACGGGAAAATTGGGAGTGAAGCTTGTTGATTCTCCTATTGATCCTAATCACAAATTAGGTGACTGTCAAGGTGAATTCATCAAGGATGTGGAACAGTTTCAGAGACTTGTAGGAAGATTGTTATATCTTGCTATTACCCGACCAGACATTGCTTATGTAGTGGGTGTTCTTAGCCAATTCATGCATGCCCCCAAGACCACCCACCTTGAAGTAGCTGAAAGAATTCTCAGATATCTTAAGAAGTTTCCAAGTGCAGGTTTATTGTTTCAAAAGCATGGGCATTTGAAAATTGAAGTGTATACCGATGCAGATTGGGCAGGATCCCTGAGTGATAGGAAGTCAACCAGCGGCTACTGAACCTAGTTACCTGGAGAAGCAAAAAGCAGAATGTGGTGGCTAGGTCTAATGCTGACGTTGAATATAGGGAAATGTCTCATGGAGTGGCTGAAATTATGTGGCTAAAAAATTTGTTGAGTGAGTTGGGATTTATAGTTGATGGACTTATGATTCTATACTGTGATAACAAAGTAGCCATAAACATTGCTGCTAATCTAGTGCTGCATGATAGAACTAAACATATCGAAGTCGACAAACATTTTATCAAAGAAAAGGTTGTCACAAGGGAAGTGTGTACTCCCTATGTCAGTTCTGAAGACCAACTTGTAGACATCTTCACAAAAGGGTTACATCACTTGCGACATTATGATTTATGTGACAAGTTGGGCATGATTGACATCTATGTTCCAACTTGAGGGGGAGTGTTAAAAATCTGTTATTCTTTAAGTTTAGTACCATAGGGGTACTATTGTATGTTCCACATCTTTTATTTTATGTTGTGTCACCCTAGTATAAATACAAAAAAGCTGGCGCCGCCAGCATCTCTTTTGACTCTCAATCTCTCTTCTCTCTTCCTTTCTCCTTCTCTTCTGGATAACAAGAAGAAAGGGAGAAAGAGGAAGGTAGGGATTGAAGTATTCCTCCTCCACCTCTTCACTATGATACTTCTGCAACTTCCTATTTGAGAGCTGCCTTTCTTTCTACTTATTTCACATTTAATCATATGTGAGGGAAACAACCATCTACAACCTTGTTTATGAAACTTGGCTGATTATGGTTCCAACACCATATTCACCTATAAAATCATTACTTTATGTGAGGGAGACAACCATCTACAGCCTTGTTCATGAAACTTGGCTGATTATGGTTCCTACACC